TGGGCTTTGGGCAACCTGGTCGAGTGGAGGGTGTCCCTGCCCATGGCAGGGGGGTTGGACTAGAACCATTCTATGATTCCATGGTTTGATTTTAAAAAGGTGGCCAGTATCTCTCAGTCCTGCTTTACGTCAGTAACTTTAATGATCCACAGTTACGCAATACTTCCTGTACTGCAACTTCTCCTTAAATAATTCCATTGATTTAAGAACTGAATCTTAAACCACATTTGGGAATTCTGATAATCTAACCATTTTCCAAAGCTCTGGTTTTCAAGATATTTTGCTACAGATTTAGACATTTAGCATTAAGCAGACAGCAGAATATGTTCACAAAAATAAACATGAAAATTAATATAAAAATCAATTAATTTTCACTAATTTTCAAATAGCTAGATAATTTGTCTACATTAAAATAAAAATCTGATAAAATTACAAGAATTAAAATAAATTCTGTAAGTTCTTGATAGAAAGTAGAGACTAGAATGCAAAGAACATACCTGGAGTTGCATATCAGCTGCAGCACACACCTTTTTGGATTCACATAGTCTTGACACCATGTTTTTTGGTAGTGGCTTGAAGAAAAAAAGAACAAGTCAGACACATTTAGAATTGTTGTATATTCGTAAATAGTACGCTTACTACTAGAAAAGGCTGAAGATGCAAAAAAAAAAAAAGACTTGTGGTAATAAAAACATATTTGAAGTGCTGTGCATTGAGGAACTAACAATAAGGAAGGAAAGCTCATTTGCTAAACAAAACATTAAATAGGCAATTATGATATCAGAAGTAATTTACATAGCAATCAAGAAATCACTGTGTCTCAATGTTTGTTTTTTTATAAATTGATCCTATGTTCCATCATATGCCTGTTAAAAATATTATGACTATCTTTAGAGATAAAGAACAGGTGGTGCAGTTAAAGTCCTCCCAGGTCATCATGGCTGATCTTCAAAAGCAGATACTGTAAGAGATTCTCCTGCCCACATAACTCCCATTGAGCTGGCAGGGTTTTCATAACTTCAACTGGGACAGCATCAGGCCTTCTACCCTAACCCACATAAAAAAAACATTTGGTCATACTCAACAGTAAATACCTACTCTTTGAAATTATTAACAAAATGGAATTTATTCCACATCTGTGGCAATTAAATTATTCATGCCACCACAGGCTGAAAGTCAGAGACATTTTTCAAGTCATTAAGCAAACTCATTTTGAATTGCTATCCAGACATCTGCAAGTACATACAACGATTTTTTAATGCTGGATCTTTAAGAATATCTGTATATGAGTGCTTGACCTTACACTTCTTCCACTGCTTCCTGAACCTTTTCAATAGATGTTTTTCCTAGTAAGCATATTCCCCTTTTTGCTAGCAGGTTTTTTAATCAAACATATTAAATATGGTTAAAATAACTGGGTTCTTGCTAAAATATTAAGAAAGTTACTACAAGTTTTACAATGTAATACAGATGTTTGGTATTACACTGAACTCTAAAAACATACCTACACTTTTATAGTGTGTTGAAGTGTTTAAGAAATAATACATGAAAGTCTACAGATCCTGATGGCTGAGCCATATGTTTAGGTTCTGTGCAAATGATGTGACTTCAAGACAAACAATGTTAATGTTCACAGAATAAAAACCCAACTCCAGAGAAGTTACACATAAGTGAGGAAAATGTTATCAATTAACTCTGTGGAATCTTGAAGTTAAAGCAGATAAGAAAAACTCTCAGCTTGCACAGCTGGTTTATGCAGTAGCTTGCCAAGGCTTGTAACCTCTTCTCCAAGACAAATGTTAGCTGGGTCAAGAACGGGATAGAACAACACCCACTATTTTGCCTGTCATAAACGCGCACAGCTGTTAAATTTCAACACAGAAAAATGAACCAATGAACACAAAGCCTGTCCTACAGTCTATCCTTGCTAGGCCAGCATTTACCCTTCCCAAATACAAAAATTCTATTTCAAATTACATGACGATTTTGGACTACTAGAGTAAGAGTAAACGGGCAGTTATCCATAGCAATAAAGACATTAGTAGCTCAGTACCTTGAGGTTCCATATTGGATTTAGCATTGTTCAAAATACTACTTAATTAGCTAGAAAAGTTATTAAGGCAAGAAACAAAGTAGAAAAAATTACAAATGGTAAAATGTATTTTGGTTGGACAATTTTTCTCCTGGCTCTACAAACATCTCTTGTCTCATCCTCTTACACAGAGTGAGGTATGCACTTCAATGACTTTTCATCCTGGAACTAAAGCACATGTGGGATTGCAATAACACAGTTTCAGTTGTTATGGAAGAAACCCTTGTGTAAGGAAACCTATTGAATTTTGAACAGATTTTGTTATTAAGCACCAAACCTATCAGCAAGTTTTGGCAGCTTTTTGGAGGCTTTATTTCCTAGTGAAGTAGTGCAGTATGCAATTAAACAAAACTGATTTCTTCTAGGGGCACCTGTATTTTGGTTACAGTAAAGTATAAGAAAACCGGACGGGAATTCTTAAATTGTAATTTGTCAGTGTTAAAAAAGCTGTACGTCCAAAAGCCTGGCAACAGTAAATATGTGTATTTTACACAGTTATAATTTAAGAGTGTTAAAGCCAAAAGCACTCCTACCAGTAAGGTCAAACCAGCTCTTTCAACATAATGGATTTTCAATTTTATATTTCAGCTATATTAAATGATGGTAAGAGGAAGTGCACAGGCATTCAGCTGGTATACAAAATAAAAAGAACAAAAGGCCCTAAGACTTTTCTAATTGGCATTTTGGTAAACCACAGTCCCACATATCCTCAACTGAATTGGGAAATCCAAGTTTGCAGTTCACTAGGGCACAGAGCAGCAAGGTTTAGCAATGTGGACAGACTTTGTACACTCCCTGGGTCACATCCAGCCCTGCTCAAGAAACTACCAAACCAGGTCTAATTCTCAGTTCAGAGCTATGCACTTCTCACAGACTCTCCACCCAAGAAAGTCTTGCTTTCTTTTGACTGTACTGCAAATAGCTGACCTCAAGCTGGAGAGCACTGCTGAAAAGACAACCTCTGTATTCACCTATTTCTTCCTTATGTTCTGCTACAAGCACCTATCCTGTTCTAAATCCAACTCCTGAGGGGAGACACAGAATGTTCATTAATAATATACTACAATCTCTTTGCACAGGAGATGGCTTAGCACCACCTTCTAGAGACCAAGTAAAATGTAGGTAATACCATGAGCCTCCAAGAAAATAATTTTATCTTTTTTGCAGCCATATGAATATCAAACAAACAATGTAGATCTACTCTGCCCTGAAGATCAAACTCTACTGTTTGAGCTTAAAAAAACAAGTAATCAGGAAATTACAAATCATTCTTATGACAATACCTATTGACAAAAAGGCACAGGAGAAAGACATGAATGTTCTTTTGTTGAAATCTGTCAGTGCTACTGATCTGGCTCAGAGACTGTGTTGTGATCGTAATTCACAAGCCAAGCAGAATTTGGCACCAGAAACACATTGTCAAAATTAGATTAAATTGAAAGAATGATAAAAAGGAGATCACTTATTTTTCCCAAAGCATCTTTGAGATTTTAAAATTTAAGATTTCAGGGAACTAAAATTAGACCTCAAAGGGTTTTTCAAAGATCACCACTCCTCACCAAAGCTTGTTTCTGTGAACGTCAGGCATACAGATATGCTGAGATCTTGAATGTACTGAGGAAGATGTGCTGTTTCAGGCAATAGAAACTCTTTTTCCTTGCTCCATTACAATCTCATACAGCCCCTTAATAAGCAGCTGGGTGAAGAAAAAAATGCATCAACAGGATTATTTTACTTATCCTGCAAGATGAGCTCTCTGATAAAAACAGAATCAAATTGTCATCCTCTTTCTAAAAGAAAGACTTCACAGAGCTTTGGCTAAAACTATTTTAATTGAATAACCATTCTGGTTTTTAAGTTTAAACGCTACATGCTTTACTTCAGGGTCTACTTTTCCATCCTTCTATATTAAGTAACTTTAAGATCTTGGCATGAACATTTCAGCATGCTTGCCATGGTGGCTAAAAGAACAGAATTCTCTGTGTCCCAAAGCATGCTTAAGTCCTTACCGCTGTGTAGTAACTGCGACATATTACGACTGTTTACTATCTGTGGGCTTATTCTTGTAATCATGCTAATACAATACTGCCTTTGTAATTCCACCTCTGTGAAAAATGAAGTCAGTTCAAATTTGAACAGTTGAAATACTGGCCTTTGTTTAAGGGAGCCTCCAAAGACACACAAGCTTAAAATTATTTAGCTCGACAGACCTACCACATATCTGTGCACTTAACAAACAAAATTAAACAAACACACACAGTGATACAGAATGGTAGACATGCACCAGATTGTCTGCTTAAGCATTGTTACGACCTCATTTTGGTATGGCTTGACTTTGTGAGCTTACCTGAGTAATTCAACTTGAGTAACTAATTAACACAGTCCTCTCTACTCTTTTCTTTTTTTCTCAAGGATTTTCTGTTTTGAGTTATCTTTAAGATGAAAGGAAAACTAGGCTTGCTACTTTCTTGGAAGAAATATTTTTGTGCTGGCCAGCTTTTTGAACTAAATTCACAAGACTCACTCCTTTTGCCAGAAGAGCTTGCAAGCTTTTTCACTCCTCAGTACTCAACAGCAAAACCATCCAAAATGCACAGAAAGCAGAGACAGCCTTTCTATAAACTTCAAGATACTTTGGACCACATCCTCATGATCCACATCTATATGCATAACGCATTCTCGTCTTTGAAAGCCTGCCCACCAAAACTTTTTTCTGCATTGCTACTAAACCCCAGTTTCAAACAGTTCATATGTTTTAATAATCAACAGAATACCTCTTTCCCCTCCTCTTCCCATAAGCATAAGCACTGATCCTCAGAGAGAGGATCCTCAGGACCAGTCCTTCTACAAGTGGCTTTTATAAGAGGCAATCATAAACTCAGACTATGCAACCAAGTTTTTCTGATGCAATTATGTTCGGTAGGAGTGTTAAAAATGACACCACCTAAAAGTTACATGCAAAAACTACAGTGTAGAAGCATCAATGCTGAAAGAAGGATGCTTTTTCAAATTTTCTGCAATGCCTCCTCAAAACGCTAGGTCAGTAAAAAACCCTCCCTCTGTCAACATCCAACAGAGCTATGCTGGTACATTCATTACAGGAAAGATCCTTCTCTTTAGGAGACTGAGCAGAAAAGCTTGGTCTCTTTATTCGTAAGAAGAAATTTAATGGAAGTTCTCATATGGAAGAACATTTGGATGAAATGGTTTTACAAATTTCACATTTTAACTGTTTCACCCACCTTCCTTACTCCCTCTTGAAAAGGGGGTAGGGTGGACTTATTTTTCTTTCAAGAGAAAAAAAAATGGAGAAGAAAATGTTGATTCAAATTTCCATTTGCACACCAAAAAAAAAAAAGTAGTCAGGGAACAAGCACAGAATATATAATCCCCAAAAAAGATTTTTGTGAAGTTGTAAATGTAAGAGAGTTGGGATTTTCTACTCAAAGTACTTTTAACATATACACAACAGATAAAAGTAATTTCTGTAACAATCACTGAATTTCAAGAACAGAAAAGATCATTTCAATCTATTTGTATTTAAATGACAAATACAGACATCTGATATCAGATCCTTAAAACTAGCTTTGATGAACCACCATAAGCAAAAGCAGATTTATATATATTGGATAATGGCTTAAAAATACATTCTAAATTTAAAAAAAAAAAAAAAAAAACACACAACAAAGCAGAATGTAACGAGAAGGTCACCCCAAAAACCCCAAAAAAACAACATTAAAAAGAAACAGTCTAAAGCCCTCAAAGCCACACAGCAGTTTCAGGTTCTTTTTCTCATCTTCCAGCACAATCCATTCTTGCCCCCTTGAAGACTGAATTTCTACGTTAAACCTCTCTCAATTGCTCTCTGAAAGGGCAAGATTTCACCACCAATAAACAGAAGTTTTTAGAAATGCCAAATGGGGGACAGTGCCTGGTTCTCAGCTTTTGCCATGCAACTAAACATGGTTTAGATTTGTTAAGCCATTTTGAAAATACAAAGCCATAAATAATGTTCCACAGATGTTTTAGTCAAACTCATTCTCTGAACTCATATGCAATCATATTAACTCCACAATGTTTAAACACTACATGAACTTTAGCGAGAACACTAGATTTTGGTATGTGGACTCGAACATACAAATGATGTACACTCCTGAGTACTTTTAACTCCCAAGTTTCAAGGAGACTTTCTTAGTGCAATCAATTCTGCGGGGGTGGGGTGGGGTGGGAAAGGTAGATTTACAGAGCAAATTTCTCAGGCAGCATCTAGTAAAATAGAAGTGAAGCAATGTCTATTTTTCTTACTGTTCAATGGAGGTAAACATAATTCCACTTTCATAATACTGAGACCTACTGAATGCTTAGTATTGGATAAAAAGCTTCAATGAAGTGTAACACTACAAAACTTGAGGCTTTCTTGGTTTTGTGTTGAAGGGTAGTCTATTCTTCAGTCATCACATCTGAGTACACTGAAACTTGCCGCAATCAAAAGAACTAGAAAAAGATATTTGGTTATTGTTTACTGGTTTGTATTTCTGAAATGGCTGTACACACATAAATCATGTTCTGCTGCCATGCATTAAAGCAACCACCAAAAGTCACCTTGTTCCAAAGAGCACTGTTTTCTAAATTTCCCATAAAAAGTAGATCCTTGCATTAGACTGGCATAAAATAGCTTTATGAAAAAAAGGGATCAGAGTTTTAATGCAGAGATTCATGACTGCCAGAATCTAAATAATCCTAATCTTAACCTAATCCTAAATAAAGCAGTACACTTTTAATCACAAAATATTTCAATCACACTGTGCTAAAAATGGGAGTTTTTAAACACTGCAGATCATTTCCATTTATCTCCATTATTTGCTACCCAAGCTTTATTTTAAGACAGACTTTAGACAGCTTGATGATGAATTAATATTTTTGTTATAGCTTACCTGTAATTAAATTAAAACATTCCACATAACTTGATTCACATAGAAGTTGTTCACCTACTGCACTAAGTTTGTGTAGTGTAGAAACTACATGACCTTTGTAGGAAAAAAAGGTTGAAAGTTTTAAATATGTAATTGGAACCCTGGATACAAGGATCTGGTATTCTTTTACAGATTACATGTATCTGTTCTGCAACGAGAATATTAATGTTTTTTCTGAAAAATTAGAATTATAATTTTAAAATCATTTATATCCATCGTTTATTTCTACTTTAAACATTATTAACAAATAACACATGAAAATGTGATTCTTTTCCTGAATACAGTTATTCCTATTTTCAATATTTTACATATTAATTTTCCCTACCTGTCCTGTTTTATAATGTTTTGCAAACTGGTTAACCACTCGATAGTCATTTGCAAAGTACTCCATCAGAATTGAGGGAACTTCAGCAAAATCAGTAGCACATCTGGTTCCTAGAGGTAGAACAATTGTACACATTAGCATTTGCAATTTTCATTAACACAAATAGTTAACTCTTCCCAAAAGGTTTTGCAACTTTTAGTTTGGACTTTTGGCGAACTTTAATGTTCTTTCATTCATTAAGTCAATATTTTATTTCCATAGCATTATTGCACATATTGCCAGAAAAGCTTCATTATAATCCTACACATTTTACTATAAATCGCAAAGTAAAACAAAATATTTGAACAGCTGGGTGAGGCACCTTATAAAGCTCTGGATCACACCCTTTTTAAACTAAACCAGACTGCAGCCAAACTGGCCCTACATGAAACACCAAATCTATTTAAGTGTCCTAAACCTAAATCAAACTACAATGTAAATAAAACTGTCTTAATCCCATTTGCAGTTACAATTTTTAGCTTCCATCTGTTTGTTGAGCTTACTTATGCTTTATATTAACCTTGCTTTATAATACCTAATCATTCATCCAAGGAACACTCTTGCAGATTGAAGACATGTTCTAAATAAATGCAATGAGGTAATATCTTAGCAGTTAATATTTTCAGAAAGTATTTTCCCAAAAACTTTATTTACTCTAATCTTTATCAGCACCTTACACAATGGAAGCGACAAATTGTGACACATCACCAAGTCAAAGCTGCATTTCTAATTTCTGTATCAAAGTCAGGGATGTATAAAGCTGTTGCTTTAATAACAGACCCACTGGGTCATCACCTCTATCCCTGTCTGCTAGAGAAAATGTCAACATTCGAAACTAGTCTTATATATAAGTACAGTTTTTGCTTCTACTATTCATTCTTGAAGACTATTTTTTAAAATCACTCCTTTGATCTTTACAAATCTTTCTCTAATTTTTAATCTGAATTCATAATCTATTTATACTCAATGTTTTCAGACCAATACTGCTCTTTAGTATAAATAGCATTCCCCACACTGGTTTTCACCTCCCAAATTGAGAGAGACTATATACTTTCTCAGCCAACATTATCCGAAGGCAAGATACAGTCTAAAAGAGTATCCGTTGTAGTTCTTCTCTACAACTGCTTCAGTTTGAATTCACCTTCAGACAAGAGACAAAACCATGCTCAAGCATTGCATGAGGTTTCACTAGTCTCTTTATCATTCCAATATTTATTGCTGTTAGATACACCTCTGATATAATTTCACATTTACCCCTTTCACAGACACATTAGCTATTTGTAGTTCTGCATTAACACAAAACTGTTCTTCTGTTCCTCCACCACTGTTGAAATATCCATTTGATCACATAAATTCTTTGTACTCTTTAAATGCATGATCTGCACTGCATAGTTCTGAATTGCATTTCACTTCTAACGCTGCAGTATCCAGTCATTCAGTTCTTATACCTCAAATCCTTCTTTTGTGCCATGACATTTCATCACTAGAGTTGGGTTTTTTGTTGTTTGAAAATCATTTTTAAAAAGCCTACAACAAGGCAGGTCCAAAGACAAATGCCTGCAGAACTACACTGATGTTCCCCAAGCCATTTCTGCTTTCTTGGTGCTCCTTAATAAAGTGACAGAATTCTTTTAATAACCATTAAAGAGACTCCTGAAAAATCACATTATCTGAAAGTCAGAAAGGTAAAAGGTGGTGCAGTTATCTGGATAAGTCCGTCCTCTTGTAAAACAAATGTAGGTATTCTCTACTGCATGATAAACTAAAATGGAATACAAGCTAGGGTTTAAAAAAATCTTATGCACACACATATGCATTAAACAAGCAATAAATGCATACAGTAAAAACAGATTAACTTAAAAAGAAGCACATCTTAAGTCAAAAAAGTATAGTGCTATCCAAGTTTTGAGCCCATTAGCAGCAGAATGGGTTCCTGAATATTTGGAATTGTTAATCAGAAAAGGCAAATACTCAGTGCATCTCAACTAGAATGTCAAACTTTTTGCTCTCACAATAGCCTGTAATGATCTTGTTTCCACACTTTTCCACCCTAGTGTCTCATGAGAGCAGATGGCTCCTAATAGAGTCCCTGGGGATGAGCCATTTGATTGTCACATTCCAAACCCTAAGAAAAAAAAAAAAAAAAAAAAAAAAGATTCTCTGCAGAAACAACACAACTGACCTCCAACGCTACTTTTGCAACGCTAGATCTGGAGTGAAATCCCCTGGGACGTGGTACTGCCTGGAGCTAAGGCAACGCTGAAACCATATACAGCGGCTCGTGGAAAGTCTGAGCCTCAAAATTAGCTATTTCCTGCCCCTTCAAGACTTTCTGACATGTAGATGAATACGATTCACCACCACAACAGGTGAACCCCACCAAAGCAGCTACTTTGGACACATAAGTACCCCTGGACGTCAAGAAGAATGAGGCCATATGAGTGGAAGGAATGTGGGAGAGGAGTGAACTGTCCCAAGGAGTATACAGACCTACTGAAAGAGCATATACAGTGTTCATTTGTTTTAACAATGTCCAGTAGTGACATACTTACAAACAGCTCAGCCTATTTTAGTTTTAAGTAGAAAACTTAAGAAAGCATATTTTGTTACTGGGTACAAAGTATCTGTTGATAACACATAACCCTACCATGAACTCCCTTTCATATCATTAGCATAACACAAAAATAGTACACTAAAAAAATCCTTCAGACAATTTCATCTGTTTGCTTGTAGTGTCTTTTTTAATAAGTAAATGTCTACTGTAAACAGGATTTCCAGCACACTACTATAGAAGAGTATATACCAAGCTGTCCGCAGATAAGAAAAGTAGTGTGCCCACCAGCTTTAGCCAGAACGTGTCTTTGACCCATTTGCCACAACTGCAGAAGGCCACAGCAGCCTACGAGCCACCAGCCAATGCACTCATTGCCATGGCTTGAAAAGAGGGACTAAATGAGAAAAGGCAATATTCCTCTTGTGTGCATTCACTAAGCTGTGATTGCGTATTCATTCATGTTCATTTACGTACAATAAAAAGGCCTACCAGTTAATCATGCTTGCAAATACAATACATTTCTAATTTATCAACTTCACTTTGATCAGAATCAACTAGAAAAGGCCTGGCTTTACAGATTTTCCATATTACCACTGTATGCTCTTTGCAAGAACTAATTTACTAATTTTCCTTAATTCAATTTCCTAAATCATTTCCAACCCAGGATTCATTATACTTTTACACTAGGTGTAAGTTTAGCTCAATTTATTTTCAATCCTCCAACTATTCCATTATTATAAACTCCACATAGGGCAAACTTGCAAGGGTGGATACCACCACTAGAACAAAGATCAGTAGTACAGAAAGGACAGATACAAATGCCTAATTCTTCTTAGCAGAAGAAGAATATTCAACTGTTGTTTGGCTGGGTTTTAGATAATATCTGGGGATCTGATATTGTATTTTCAACTCATCAACGTTGCAGAAGTATCAACATGACTCAACCATTTCTGGTTCATCCTCTTTTTTCTTTTTTTTTCTATTTTTTAATCTACTCCCTTCTTCTAGAAATTAAATATTTAACTAAAACAACAAAAAAAATCACTATTCTAACTTTCTTACCAGTGACATGTTGGTATCGAGTTCTTCCCAGCATAGAATGCATAGCATGTCCCATTTCATGGAAGAGATTCTCCATCATGCCAGGACTTAGTAGCGTTGGTGCACCCCTTGTTGAATGGGGCAGGCTAAGCATAAGAACAACCACAGGCAGCTGATACTCTCCATTTTCCCTCAGCCTGCCTCCACGAACTGTAAAGTGACAATCCTTTTCAAGATAAAAGCAAACATGGACAGCCAATGTCATTATATCAATGATATTAAAACAATGATGAAATTATTAAATGAAACAAACTATTAAATCAAACCTAAACGTATACTCAGTTATCCAAGTTGAATTTAATCAACTGTGTTGTTCAATAGAAGCACGCTGTTTCTCCATCTTTATTATTTGCTTCATATTCATAAGGAAACTACCTTATTCCATAAAGAAAACTGTGTTGCTTTTAGAAAATAAAATTATTTTGTTTGTTTTACAATTATCAAAACCTCTCAATTTTTCTAAAAAATACCACAAGCTCAAAGAAATTTACTCATGTGCCAAATCCATAATTTACACATAAAGTTCTCTCCTCATTCTTCATCAGTAACTTCTTTATAAAATACTCTGCACAGCACTCCTAGTATATTGTGAAATATTAGCAAAATAGAGTAATATATTATACTAACGCAGATTTAAAGTTTGTCCACTTACCACCTCACTAAAGGTGGTAATTTGCAGATGTTTCTACAGAGTGAAGTGTCTATTGTGCTGCATCGTATAGTTTCTATACCGGCACTGGATAGCATGAGTGAGTGAGCCACAACAGTTGGAACCATCTACAGTTTTAAGTAGAATTTTGAATAAAAATTAGGTGTCATTATGAACTTTCACCTTCAGAGGGTATTAAAGTTTCAGATTGTTTTAATTTGTAAATAATAAACAGATCTCTAATCAAAGTTCTACATTTCATAGCACCTGCCATTCTGCAGAATAAAGAGTTCGAGTTCAGCCTACCAGGTGGCTTTTTTAAATGAAAGGTTACTGACAAAAATATTTTACCTAAAACCACGTTCAAAGTTACAGACTTTCCCTGCTAATATTGAATTTATTTTAAATCGAGCTATCTTTTACTAAACTTACATTAAATGCCCTAACACTACAGTCACTACTCAAATAAAAACCATGCTGGAATCAGATCATAAATGTTACCTGGTGTGGTTTATCAGGTCGCTGAAAGAAGTCACAATAGATGTATCCTAGCAAACCTTCAGTTTCATGAACAACAGCCTAAAGAAAAAGAAGTATTATTTCCCCAGTCAAAGCACTGATAAGATGGGTAAACTGAAGACATAGTATTCTAATCCAAAGATTTATAAGGAATAAATGACAAATAAACTGGGAACAATTAATGTAAAATCTGTTGGTAATTTTAGTTGAAAAAAATATATATACAAGATTCAGAGCTTGTCCCTCAAACTGCAGCCATTTCTGCATTTCACTCAAAACTAATTAGTCACAGATTACTATTAAAAGTAGCACTGCCTGTAGCCCCTGAATGACTTCTCAGAAGTCAACAGTAACAGAAGTTGATTTACCATGGGAAAAAAGCCGGAAGAGTAAGGAGTAATTATAAATTGACCCACAGGATATAAAGAACAGCAACTCTTGCTGGGGGCTGGAGGTGGAAAGGCAGTGAAGAATATCTGGCAGTGAATACATGGAGGGAAGACAAGAGAGGAACCTGGGAACCTGGTGAGTATATTATTGCTGAAGTTTTTTATTTCCACCCTCCTCTAAAAAGAGGGCAGAAAAATAAAGACATAAAAACCAATCTCAAAGTAAAGATGACATACAGAATTAAAAAAAATATGAGAAAAAGACACATGACTGCTAGAACATGGACTTACAGAATTCTAGTTGTCTACAGTCATCTACAAATTGAAACTAAACAAAACTAGCCGGGCTCATTGAGAAGGACGGCTTGAAAGGCACAACAATAATCTTCAAACAGAGAAACTGATTCTGATTCAGGCACCCTTCACAGACAGACATATTATAAAGACCATTAAAGACCAAGGACACAAAAGGCACTTAGAGAGAGTATGATGTCCTTGAGGTCTAACTTCAACTAAAATTAGACTACTAGTCTGTGCTTTTGATAGGTACCCAAATAATTTAAAAATAAAATCTGATTCATGGCTCAGAGGAACACACCATCTTGTCTAACTTCCGTCTGTCATTTCAGATGCTGGGAACAAGAATACTTACCAATTTTCGAACATCTTCAGACCAAACCTCTCCTCTCCGTGTCTGTTCAGCATACAGGGAGATTCCTAGGAGCTGACTGAACAAAGAGTTCAAACCTTCCATGCATGCCCCAAGAGAGAAAAATGGACAGTACAAGCCAGGATCAATGTTGTACCTACAGAAATACAAGCATCACAGAATAGTTAGTTTTGCTACACAAACTATGGTATTCACCACCAAGTCACAGGATGCGACAACATACACCAGATAAGCCTCACAAGGCCTTTATTAAGCATATTTGGCTTTATATTTCAAATAGTGAAATTCAGTCACAGAATGAATAGTTATGGCACAGTGCTTCACAGCAACTCCATTTTTCTTATATTCAAATTTGGATACCAAATCCAGCAGATGACAACTATGATTTTCAGATATTTTGGCAAAAATGTTCTTGTTGCCTCATTTTACATACAAAGTCCAAGTGTTATTTATACCATTTTGTGGGGATTCAGAGTAAAGACTGTTTAATGCTAGAGAATCACAGTCCACCTCTTCTTTCATGCTCTTGCACTTTTGCTTCTTAATGACATGGTAACTAGTCACTAAAATTTAAACACGCATCAGCTGGACTACAATAGCGGAACACCAAAGATGAGAACGATGGTATGTTAAGGCCTATGATCAAAAGGCTTAGGAGGACGGAGACAGGTTCTTCTCAGTGGAACAGAGGCAATGGGCACAAACTGAAATACAGGAGGCTCCTTCTGAACATCCGGAAACACTTTTTCCCTGTGAGGGTGACTGAGCACTGGCACAGGTTGCCCAATAAGGTTGTGGAGTCTCCATCCTTGCAGAAATCTAAAAGCTGTATGGACACAGTCCTGGGCAACCAGCTGTCAGCGGCCCTGTTCGACCAGATGACCTCCAAAGATCCTTTCCAACCTCAACCACTCTGTGAAGAGGTCATATGGAGCCTAGGACTAAGACCACACAACTGCAGTATGGATAGATTCCAGCTTCATCAGAGTAGGACAACATTTCATGCTAACTGCAAAGGATTACCACGCTTAGTTGAAATACTGGATTAACGTGTTTGCTGGGGGGCAGAGGGGAAGAACTCTGAAACTACTTTATGTGTCATTTTGTTTCTGTCAAAACCACAGATACATACTAGCAGGAGAAAGCAGTGATATTCCTTCCTGGACAGGAGAGCTGACATTAACATATTACAGGGAGAAGATAAGTGCCTATTTCTTCCTCATTCTCAGCACTCCTTCAACACGTGCATTGTCCCCATGAACTTAGCCCATGACGAAGAGGATGGGGAGAAGGCTTTCTGATAGTTATAATATACTGTCACTATTCAAAGTGTGTGGGGGGGCAAATCTGTAATAGTTTTGTCTTTTGGAAAAGCATGGCATTTATCCACCCACTCATGAGAAGAGCAATAACAGACTATACTGGCTCAAGGCAGGCTCCGCAGGGGACCTAGTCCCCTACCCTGGCTAATGTTTGAGGATGTCACAATCTGACATTTTGAGTACAATGAGGTCCTGATTAAACAACCGCTTTAATAATAACTACACAAAGTTCATGTCAGTTGCTTCTGGTAGAACATTGCCAGGATCAAATCTCTCCCACATTTAATGAATGAAGTGTGTTAATACTCCTCTTGCCAAGGAGGAGAAAATTGCAAAAAAAATTTGAAAAACAACTTTTTTTTGTACGAAACACCAAAAAACCAAGTTTCTACTTCTGATCTCACTTATTTCTCCATTTCTGCCTTGTCTACTATACCAGTGTGTAGTAGGCAAAGATATTGATGATATTGAAAAGACAAAGATACTGAAAAATCCTCAAATAGCACTGGTGTCTTATGACACAAGACTGATACTTAAATTACTTTTGGACAATCCTGACAGCAGTCAGTGGTGATTACTGTACTTTAACTTATTTGGCATCCATAGCTTTTTTGCTAGCCATGGCAATGTCATAGAACTTAGAAAGTGGTCAAAATATGATAATACAAAGCAATTTTCACAATCAGATGATAATAATTAAGAACATACTTCAAAATGCGTATCAGGTACTGAAAAAAAGCTACTGCTCCAGGAAGTGGATCTTCTTTAAAAGTGGATCATCTTGAAAAATCTTTCTCTAATACCAGTCTGTACCCACTAAGCAGTAATCATTCCAGACACCAAAGCACATATTTAATGCACAAGTTTTGAATTTGGTCCTACCTCATACATGAACTCTCTTTTCACAAATCAAGTAAGACCAACTGTCATTGAAGAAAGCCTAACCCCAAACTTGCACTGATTCCAGGAAAACTTTCTCTTTGGGCTTATTTAGGAATAGAAATTAGCCAAAACCTCAGCTATCTGAAGATTTGTCCTACAACCAAAAAACTCAGTTCCTGGAATCATTAATAGATGATCTTGCCTTTCAGTGGCAAGAGCAAGCATATGACTGACTCTTTTCTGAGCCCCTACCTTCAAGATTTAATGCTACTCACTGCAGAATGAAAGGTGTAGCACTAGATAACAGTAGAGGACAATGAGGAAAAGGGAAGAAATTAATTTAAAAGATTTGAATCTTTCCCAAAAAAAGAATATTCAGTGAGCAGAACAGGAAATTCTACAATCTCTCCTAGATTCGTAAAACTGAAGTCTGGCTGGAGGGTGTGGGTGGAAAAGTATTTGGAAGAGTTTACTGACAAAATACATGCTCCCTTATTGAAGATTCTTCCTTGATTCCAGGCACTCAAAACAGTAGCAGCCATTAGCAACTTCATCATTTCCAGATGACAGGAAAAAAGCATCTGTTTGCTAGCAAATGATTACCCAACCTCAGTTATTCACAGCTTCATCACCTTAGTGAAACTGCAAGAACACAACATTTCCCAGACACAGTATTTCAGTGTTCCAATCCATGCTAATCTAAAACACCGTAGCACAAATTCTTGGCAACAATGGGGACTGTGATTGTAACAGCAAGCCAAACTTCTCTTCCCTCAGCCCTTTGAATGAAATTTCTAATGCTGCTCAAGGGTCTCAGGTTGTATCTTCAAAACACTCTCTGACCTGGGCTGGATTACCTAAAAGACCACATAAAACTCCAAAACGAAGACTTTAGCGCTTTAAACTGCCCTGTAACAAAGATAGAGCTTGTCTGTGTAGGATGCAGAGCCTTTTTGAGGGCTGATCCAAGACTGTTAAATGAATTTCTCCTGAAGCTACAGGGGAAACTCAAAGTTCACCATCTTCTATCCCAGGTGTATGGTGTTTCTTTGATCATCTTTTTCAAATGGGAAACCAAGTGTATTTGAAAAAGCACACAAAAGCTCCCAACAAAACCCAACCAAACCAGAGCATTCCACTGCACGTTACTTCTCTATTGATGGAATGAAAGGACAAAAACTTTAGTTAATGAATTAACTGATAGTGACTGACTCTATATGAAAAGGAACAGAGTTTCCTAAGTGCTATAGCTTAACCTGCCCCTGAACTACTCACTGGTCAGAGCAAAGCAATCTTCATAATCTACACATTAATAACTGTTGATGACCCTGCTGTGCATATAATTATTTTTATTATATTACATGTTAAAGTAGCAGCCATTCTAAGAATCACTTTATGCATGATTTTCAAGCTGTTAGCAAGCTGTGGGCTTGGATAGTTATCTAGCTTTTTTCCTTCTATTTAAAGCAAATAGTAAAAACTTCAAATAAAACTGCAAGAAGCAGCTGCTTTAATATGAGCACACTCTCTCTAGTCACTCTTTGGCAAGCTGCCTCTATATTTATTCAGCCAAGTTACAATTTTTTATCTCCAATAGGAAATGCATTCAAGTATTTTTGGGAAAAGAAATCAGAAAGGAAGTTACTATGACCCATACTGAACTACACTAACAGGCATTCTGCTACCAGTAAAATTTCTGCTAAGGGTTACTGCTACTAGCAAGAAAGGTTAATGTTCTGGAGACAGACAGCTAAAATCTGCATTGGAAACCAAGTGGAGCTCCATTTGGCGACAACAACTGCAGAGAAGTGCCTGAAGACAGATTTTCTAGTATGCTGTAATGTGCAGCTTGCTTGCTGCACCATCTGAGCAGACAGGCAGAATTCAATGGGGAGGATGCTGCACATGGCATACTAATATCACTAGCTGAACATTGTACTGCTGTCTCCAAAGCTGGCAAATACATGGAAACATGGTTACAGGACTTCCTAAGGAAGAAAAAGGATTCAGGTCAGCTAAACAAACCAGGGCAAGAATCAAACATCCTGTCTGGATACCCTTTCACTTAAAAATGTGAGTTCTGGGCCCCAGCAAGGTGATTCAAAGTGCTTCAAATGGGTACCTACGATGCCTATGCCACCAGTAAATGGCACATGCAAATATAATACCACTCTCAGGCTTAGCAAGGTACAGCTAGAGCTAACAAGCAGAAGTCTTGAGCTCAGTTATGTGTTCTTGTTCCTCTCTTGAACTTAGACTTCCCTGACTGGACCGCACGTTGTATACCCGAATCCCAAAAGGATGAACAGCACAGCCTTTCTATGGGAAGATGCCTTTGAAAATGCAGGCAAAGGAGATGGAAGAATGGTGGTCTGATGAATTGCAGCAGAACATTGCAGAGACCTACCTACTCCAGTCAGAAAGATTTCTTACCCCAGAACCTTTCTTCTAGGTTATCTGAGGTCAGAAGAATAGCTACGTATTGATTTCTGATACTTGCAGTGCTACAAAAAGTTTTCCTAGCTACCCTTGAACTTGAGCACATAAATTTTCTTAAGCCCTTATGTGAAACTTGAAGGATCTGAATGCACTTCTGGAAGAGCAGGAAAAGGAAATCCCAACATTTCTATCCGTTACAGACATACACACCAGAAAACACAATTATTAATCTAAAAGATGACTTCCTGAAATCAAGAAGGCATTTTTACATTACTAGATATTAAAAAAAGAAAAGAATTTGCTTTTAGTTTAAATGTAGGAAATACCGTATTACATTTATGTAAATCATAAAGGGCACCAGTATATAAATTTCACTCTGAACAGATCAGAAGCAGCATCAACAAATATATACATGAACTCATGTACAGTGGAAGAGAGTATTTTTCTCCATGCCAAACTTTCAGTTAAGTATTTTGACTTCAAAAAAAAAAAT